GAAACATTTGTGCGTAAATGTAAAAGAACTGAAAGAAAGGAATCCTCTCTGCTTAACTTTGACTACTGTTCAAACCCATAGAAGGTGTGAGTCAAGGGCTTTTTGACTATGTAACCAGAGCAACAAACTCTACTGTATGTTTTCAGTATAAGCTGCATGAAGAGCATTATCTGGTTGCATCCATTTCTTTGGAGAAGAAAACAGTTGGTCTCTTTCTTGCTCTGTGGAAGTTGGTATTGGTTAGAACAGCATCTGAGAAGTGTAAGGATTTTGTAGGAAATGTCAGTAATGACATGCATTTCAGAAGAATGTTCTAACCTTAAACTATGACTACAGTCAAGGAGAGAGTACCTACAAGCTGTGCAAAATGAAGGCCATATGCTATCTGTTTGTTTTCATGGTTGCTCATTGTGATGTTGTGAGCAGAAGGCAACTAGATGCTGCACAGAAAAAGCTCTAATTTTGAATGGGGACAGCGCACGAGGATATGACTAGCCACAACACTGGAGGAATTAATATTTACTTACCTTCTTTGCACTGTAGACAAGTACAGTGGAGGAATTTGCCTTTTTTGTTGCAAGATAGCAAATGTTAATTTGCCTTCCAGATGTGGGGGTCAACTAGGCCATACAAAAGACAACACAGGAGAAGGTAGGGATAAGGGATTGCTCACTTCAGTGTTCAACACCAAGCTCACATTTGTCCTTTGTCCTTGAAATTCAGGCAAAAATACAGTTTGGCACTTGGACCCAAAAGGCCATGTAGCATCAATAACGCTACACTGAATATACTCCAGTTTTAGCAAAAAGCATCAGTTTGTATTATACGCCCTGCACATCTCCGTTTCAGGACAGAAATGAGAGAGTCTGACAGTTAAGGCATGTGAGAAAGGAGTAATTAGCAGTTAGAAGGGTTATGGGTGTATTGTGAGATTTCCCTAGATCCCGTTCTGATAACTGAGCTGGCTTTAATTCTGTGGCTTCCCAATCACTTTGAACTCCTAAGAAAGACATAGGGAGGTATGTAACATGGAAACAGTAGAAATACTGCTTCTTAAGGAAGCAAAAAGTGGCAAATTGCTCAGAGAGTCAGCATTCAGATGGTTATACCAGATGCCCAGACCTCCAGTGGTTGGATAACTCTACTACTGGTTTAGTGGGAAAGGCTGGGGTATCTTCCACTCACAGTGACTGTAATGCTTGGTCTGAGTTCAGGTGATACCTACAGTTGGTTCATTGCCTTTGTTTGCAGTGGCAGCCCTTAGAGTAGGACAGAAGACATTT